TATATATTCAACCAGATGTTGTGGATTGGAATTCAAGCAAAGGAGCACATTTTCAACCAGAAAATCCCTTTTAAACATTTACACAAATAAATAAATAAATAAACAAATAAATAAATAAATAAATAAATAAATAATCAAAATGACTGGTTAATGTTAGTAAATATATTCATTAAAAATATAAAAGTTTGGAATTTTACATTCTATTTGCCAAAAATACTTTCAAAAGTTTTTTTTTTTCATACAAGTTATATAAGTAAATTAATTCTATTTTAATTGTATGCATGTCATGGTTTGTGACTATTTTTTTGGTTGTAAATCCATAATAAAGTTTTATTTAAAAAATATTTAAAATAAAAACATATATTTACAAATGTTTTCCAAACCTTTGGGCAAATTGTCTCCAACGCAAGTTGGAACAAAATTTGGATTTAAAACACCCTTATAAAATGTTTTAAAGTAATTAAAATAAACACAGAGGAAAGTTTCTTAGTGATGTCAGCTGTTAATAAATAAATAAATAAATAAATAAATAAATAAAGAAATAAATCCTTCTCATCTGTAGCTTTCTGCCTTGTTTTAAAGTTTTTCAAACCTAAAAATGAAACTTTTTTTAAAGTGTTTACCAAAGAGTACAATATCTGCCACCTTGTTCGTCATGTTTTAAGTTATTTGCAACACATATAAACAAACAAACAAATGAATAAATAATCAATCAAAATGACCAGTTAATGTTAACAAAAATATTCATTATATAAAAACATGGTAAAATTCTTTTTTAATAAATATAAAAGTCAGTCACTCTCAATAATAATGACAAAAACAAAACATTTTAAAGAAGGAAACTCACAAAAGCAAAGCGGGGACTGTTCTTCCGCACTTCCTACATCTTGTTCTGCGCACAAGGACAATAATTTGCTTTATAGAAACAACAACATTTAAATAAGCACGTTTAAATTATTCTGTTATGTGGAAAAGAGCACACCAACTTTAGCATTCAGTTAGTGTCACTTAGCATCAAGAATTATTGTCAGGAATATGACATCATCCAATCGTGAAGGAAATAATTTTTATGTTTTACATGCAATAAAACATATTTTTTCCCCACATCAAAAAATACAAAATTGCGTCCTTAAACATGATTATGGTGCTATAAAAGCAGCGTACTTACGGGCGAGTGTGTGCGTGCCCAGGAGCAGCAAGAGGCAAAGCTTGGCTCCCCACATGATGGGCTCCCACAGCTTGAGGAGAGTCTCCCTCTTTCTCTGAAGACTAATCCTCCTGCTTGCGTCTTTGGGTTTTTATAGACCTCCAGTCTTACTGTATATGAGCCCTGGGACCTGCGGATATGTTGCCCTGGTTCCAAAGTCTGAGCCGTCCTTGTGGCAGGCCAAAGGTAAAAAGACTTGTCTGTCAGCACTGGCTGGGTGTGCTCAGCTTGATTGTTAAACGACTCCCACTTTATTATTTTATCTGTTGCTCAGATGTCACTGAGAAGCCAAAAGTGAGTTTTTAAGAACATTTACTGTTAAAATAAACATGTTTATTTGGGTCTTAATCTCAACGGAAGAGAAGAAAACAATTTGTAATCAGACCAGTGTCATATTGAGACTAATATCGCATCAATCCCTAACTTTTATGGCTTGTTTTGCCACAAATATTTATCACGGATTATTTTATTGCAGTCTTGTTTTTCACTCTTGATAATGTATTATTAAAGACCTAGCAGTTTGTTAATGAATGCTTATCGCCCGCTGCCTTCCATGCCAGAATCTTTGAGACATCCTATTATGAGAAATGGTGATGCTGTTTTGTTAAAATTAAATTATGAATAACTAAAGAGTATGAGTGAGTATGATATGTCCCACTCCAAAAATGTCTAAGTAATGACGCTCAACTACTACCACAACAATTTGTAGCCCAACATCTGAAAGATGGACTGCGATATGCAGTGGCTTATGTGGATTAATTGTCTATCTATATTATATTGGATTCACTCCAAAAGTTAAATAGTTGTAGATGTGTATTCAGTGTTTATTTCTTGAAAGTTTCATTAAAGTCTGTGCAGCGATTTGTGAGATATTTCGCTAACAGACACAGAGTTAATTCTAAACAGGCCACGGCAATGTTTAAAAAAATATATATCTTGTATAATCTGTTAACACACATAATATATGTTGTGAAAAACTCTCAGCTACTGCCACACTTAATTTTAGAATAATATCTATAAATAAGACAGAATTATAGCTGTTTTTAGTTTTTTTTTAAATAAGTTATATGTGGCAGCCATCTTCAATTGTGTTGATTCCAAAAGTTAATCACTTGTAGAAGTACAACCAGTAATTGCTCTCTGCAGCTTTCACTAAAATAGGCTCACTGGTTCATGAGATATTTTGCTAACAGACACACACACCTTTTGCCTGCAGGCAATAATGAACTGCTTTGGAGTCGAAGTTTCAGTTTAATGGATTCTGTTCAGCAAATCCTTTTAAGTCACCAGACTTTGTAACTCTTTGCTGAACGTTTCTAGGACAAAGGTTATGCTGTTATTGTGGTTTTAAGTGTCCACCAACGCTACGCAAAGTCTCCTTACAGAGAGTGAGGTTAACCTTTGACCCCCAGCTGTCAAACAGTCTGAAGCAAACGGAGGCAGGACTGAAACCTGACTCATCCGCTGCATTATCAGAGCGCTTGAAATCAGTCTTCAGTCTTGTATTTTTATCGCCAGCCACAAACGGTGAAGTGGAGTAATAATGTTTTTGCTGTGTGTTTTCATTTGTTTTCTTCGTTAGCAAAATATCTCACGAAATATTGACCGAATATTGATGAAACTTAAAGTTGATAATCACGGGACGTCCATAAAGCTGGTCGCCACAGCTGATCGACCGATGTCAACACAACAAACAACACAACAAAACAAAGCACGGTGACTTTTACCGACATCGAGCTGAAACTGGGTGTGGTGGTCGCAGAGAGTCATTCATAACACACACTCCAAGCTGTAACAGATCGTGCAATACACTGCGATTTCTCGTAAGATTGCTCATATTGTTCTATTTAAGGTTTGACCAAAAATGACTACTGTCAAGAACATTTATAGATTATGGATGTTTATCAGTAACTGATGGAAAGCCGAGGTCGTCTTGACCTCGCCTCTGTCTGATAAGCGTGTAGCATTTCCTGCCTCACTGTCCGGGGCAGAATCTCCAGTTAAGACTCTGGCAGCAGCATTTTGGATCAACTGAAGACGTTTTAAAGAAATATTTGGACACTCAGATAATAAACCATTGCAATAGTCTGGTCTAGACGTGACAAATGCATGGACCAGTTTTTCTGCATCATTTTCAGATAGGAGGTTTCTAATTTTAGTGATATTACTCAGGTGGAAGAATGCGGTTCTAATAACGTTTTTAATGTGGGAGATAAAAGACACGTCTTGATTAAAAATAGCACCAAGATTTTTAACATAAGAGCTGGAGGCCAGATTAATGCCATCCAAGGAGAGCTTTTGGTCCTTATTTCTCAACATAAGATGATTTCATTCTAAAACTCTGGCATGAAAGGGAGCGAGTGACAGGCATTCCTTCAATGAATGCTAGCCCGGTTGTTTTGGAGCCTGACCATCATCAGAAATACTGATGTTTGCTCAGAAAAAATTATTTGGCATCTTTGTGAACTTAGGTCAAAGGATACAGCATAAATATGACAGTTTAACTTCAAAACCTTTTTTGTTCTTATTAGATAATATGATTTGGAGTTGAAGTCATGAACCTACATAAACAAGTCTAAACTAGAGAAATTGCATTTCCTGTGAAAATGCAGTGTGAATGCTGAAGAACTTGCTAAAAACAGCTTAAATTAGCTATAAGCATGCGGAAATAGAAGAACAAGCCTAACTTTGCAGAAGAAAGCAGAACAAACAAATATTTGATGGATTAGGTTTAAATAAGCAGAAATTAGCACAAAATAATGAAATTAGCAAAAAAAAAAAGAAGCCGAAATTAGCTTAAATAATAGCTGAAAAGTAGCTGAAAAGGCAGAAAGAAGCTTAAACAACCACAAGCGGAAGGAGCTGAAATGAGCTGAAAAAGCTAAATTTAATACAAAAACATCTAAATAGTAGCTGAAATCGCAGAAAATGGTGAAACTATCAGAAATAACCTGAAAGGAGCAAAATAAACTGAAATTATCATAAAGAAATTAATTAGGCGGAAAGTAGCAAAAGTTACCACGGAAAACGTGAATTGATCCGAAAACAGCTGAAGTTAGCTACAAAAATACAGAAAAGGTAGCTGAAAAGCTAATTAAATTAAACTTAAATTAGTAGAATGAAGTGGAGAGAGCACAATTTTGCCCAATTAGGCTGAAAGAAGCAGAAACGAGCACAATAAAGTGAAATTAGCATAAAAACAGCTAAAAAGTAGCTGAAATTCAGGAATATATAAAACTTGCATAAATAAGCTGAAAGGAGCACAACAAGCTAAATTTAGCAGAAAGAAGTTAGAAGAAGCACAAAAATCTTCTCGTTAGCAGAAATAATCTGAAAGGATCACAAAACAGCTGAAAAAACAGCTGAAAGTAGCTGAAATTTTGTTTTAATTTGCTCAAGGAAGCTGAAAGAAGCTTAACCAGCCCAAAATGTGAACGGAGCAGTAAAAGGTTGTAAACAGGTCTAAAGATACGAAAGATGTAAAATGAGCTCAATTAGTTTAATATGAGAAACAAGAAGTGGCAGAAAAGGCTAAATATTTATAAAATCTAAAGTTGCACCAGTACCAAAAGTCAAAGCCCCCTTCTCCTGAACGAGCTGAATGTTTTGATTTATGATTTGTTGAAATAGCACAAAAATTGTGGAACGAGAAAAATGCAGAAAAACTTACGAAAGAAAAATGGATCACAATAGTGTGAACAATGCTTCATAAACATTCACACTATTAGAAGTGTGATTTCAGCCTTTTAAATAATCTGGATCATTATTATTTTCTGTTTATTTATTGCAAGTAAACAACTAATAAAAACAAAAAAAAAAACTCAATAGAATAAAAAATAGTCAAGGAGGAGTTTGTGATACAACTGAATCTACTTCTACTATAAAGTGAGTAAAGCAGTGAACGAGTATGTATAAATATATAAGCTGTAAGAAATTTTTGCTCAGTCTATAAAATTAAGTACAATCAGTTTGTGTTTACTAAAACAATTGGCTGATGTGACCATCTTGACTTGAGTTGACTCCATGAGACATTCATGGATTACTTTTTCAGAATTTCATTAAAGTTTGGCCTGTCATTTATGAGATATTTTGCTAACAAACAAACAGGTACACATCCATACAAGCAATTATATGATCTCTTGCCTTCCTTAACGACAGGTGATTATGTCCAAAAGTCACAAAATTATTTAAATTAAGGTCACATGTACAGTTTAGGTTTTATGTAATGTGTGCAAAATCTTGTTCAGGAAAATAATCCAATCAGTTAACACTCAAAGCCGAAGTGGGGATGACAACCAGCTACTATCACACCAAACTTTAGCTCATCTGTAAAACTGGCTGAGCTATGGCCATTTTTACGTTCGCTAATGTTGACAGAATTCCATTTGTCAGCACCTTTTTGTTTTTAACCTTTAACCTGGTAAAAAAGAAGACATCTGTGACTGCTGTTCGACTGGGATTACAACACTGCTGAACTCAAGATAAGTTAATCAGCGAAGAACGGCTTTAATGTTGCACAAGTTTTGACTTCAGCACTGAGCAGTGTGGGAGAACAGTCTGCACGGTCTGGAGTAAATCTGCATGAGACGCTCCACCATGCGGTTGCATTGTGCATTGTGTGTCAGGAGATACAAATAATACGTGGCCCGTTTGAGTGAAACTTGGTGGGGATATAGACGAGGAATAAACTGAATGTTACTGACTGTTTTTTTTTTTTAAATGCACACACCATTAGATAGCTCCTATTTGAACAGAGGTAAACACTTCTGAGACTGTCTGCTTCCGACTTCATGGCTCTCTCTCTGTCTCTCTCTCTCTTTGTGTTAGGAAAATAACTTGTTTTATTTTTTAGTTAAGCTTTATCTTTTGGTCTCATTGAGTCACAAGGATGCGGCATTCGATGAAGCTCTGAAGCGCTGCCCTTATCGCTTAGACAAGAAAAGTGGAAGAAAACATGAGGAGACAAGTTATTAAAAAAAAAAAAAAGAAAGATCTCTCACGCCGTGTCCTTGACACAGGGCACGATGTAAGGTAGCAAAAGAAATCTACCTCAGCAAGCAACATAGAGAGACATATCCAACATTTTTCATTCAGGTCATCTGGACAGTTTCTTTTTTTTTGGCATGGACTTTGTTGTTTTCAACCAGTTTGACACGACTGTCAACAAGGAAGAGGGCCGGCAATGGAGGAGGGGGCGTACCAAAGAGACCATCTTATCACAAGCAGAACTGGTTTGTTCCACTTTGGAGTAAGCTGTTGGGGGAAGAATCAGTTTTGTTGTGTGTTTTCTTGACTGATGAAGTCTTCCGGATCAAAGGCGAAACGTTTCAGCAGAAAAAAAAAGAGAAACTGTCTAGATGACCTGACTGAAAAATGTTGGATTTTATACCTGGATTATTGATCATGGACTTTGTTATAGAGAGAGACATAATACATTTTGCAGTGGGGTGGTGGGGTGGGGGGCACACAACAAGATGGTGGGATTGTCTATTAACACTTCAGTTTCCATAGTCCTAATAAAGATGTTACAGTATCTCTCAGTCAGTCCACTCTGATAACGGTCCACAGATGGTTTTTTTTTGTTGTTGTTGTTTTTGTTTTTTTTGGG